CACTGGGGGGGCGGGGAAGGAGCGAGGACGGGGCGTGCTCAGATGAGGGGGAAGAAGGGGGCAGGAAGAGGCGTGGTGGGGCGGGGGAAGGGTTGGAGTGGGGGTGGGGCCTGGGGCAGAGCGGGGGTAGAGCTGCCAGCTCATTGGAACGTCGGCGCCTCTGGCTGAGAGAGATGATGGAGGGGAGAATTAGAGCTGTGCAAATGATACAGTTTTCAGTTCACTAACAGTGCCGAAAAATCAGGGGGGGGAATCATTTCAGGTAAACAGAAAAGGAAAATGTTCAGAATTTCTGGAGAATCAAACAGTAAAAGTTAAAATAATGTCATTTTGGGTCCAATGGAATGTTCCAGTGGACCCAAAACGAAACCTTTCGCCTTGACTGGGCTTTTATTTACGTTTTCACATTGTGTTTCAAAGGAAAATTCAGCAAAACCAACACGAATTCTCAACACGTTGAGTTGTTGCCAAAGCTGCATTTTCCCCGAATCTAGTTTCAAACAAAAATATTCTCCCGGTTCTATTGGGATAGACTTGAGGTGACTATGCGCAAAGGATCCCCTACCCCACTGAGCCTGGAGACACTGACCACACTGCAATTTTGCCCATTGATATAACGGACCAAGTTCATCTGAAAAGTCATGTTCTTGGGAAGAGGAAAGCTAAGAATGATGCTCGCACCCAGGCTGTATTCATTTACTAATGCTTTGAAGGTGGCAGTATCCCATTAGAGGTTTTGCCTTTAGACCAGGGGTGGGCAAACTTTTTGGCCTGAGGGCCACATCGGGGTTCTGAAACTGTATGGAGGGCCAGGTAGGGAAGGCTGTGCCTCCCCAAACAGCCTGGCCCCTGGCCCCTATCCGCCCCCCTCAGAACTCCCAACCCATCCCATCCCCCCCACTTCTTGTCCCCTGACCCCCCATCCTGAGACCCCCCACCCCTAACCACCCCCCTGGGACCCACCCTCTATTCAACCCCCCCGCTCCCTCTCCCCTGACTGCCCTGACCCCTATCCACACCCATGCCTCCTGACAGGCCCCCTAGGACTCCCATACCTATCCAAACCCCCCGTTCCCTGACCGCCCCCTCCCCCAAACCTCTGCCCCATCCAACCGCCGCCTGCTCCCTGTACCCTGATTGCCCCCCAGGACCTCCTGCCCCTTATCCAACGCCTGCCCACCCCTTACCATGCCGCTCAGAGCACCAGGACTGGCAGACGCGCCACCCAGCCGGAGCCAGCCACACCGCTGCGCTGCCCGGCAGGAGCTCGCACCCCCGCCGCCCAGAGTGCTGGCAGCACGGCGAGCTGAGGCTGTGGGGGTGGGGGGACAGCAGGGGAGGGGCCAGGGCCTAGCCTCCCCAGCCAGGAGCTCAAGGGCCGGGCAGGACGGTCCCGCAGGCCAGATGTGGCCCGCAGGCCATATTTTTGCCCACCTCTGCTTTAGGCCCTCCTTCTTCCATAGCTGATGGATACAGGCCTGGATGTGCAAAGGACCCTAGCCTGGAATAAATAATATATATGGAGATATATCTATCTCATAGAGCTGGAAAGGACCCTGAAAATTCTTTGAGTCCAGTCCCCTGCCTCCACTAGCAAGACCAAGTACTGATTTTGCCCCAGAACCCTAAGTGGCCCCCTCAAGGATTGAACTCACAACCCTGGGTTAAGCAGGCCAATGCTCAAACCACTGAGCTATCCCTCAGCTCCACCCCTGCTCTACCCAATCCTTTCAGTGTGGTGAGAAAGTCCCCATTGGCTGTTTTATCATTTGGACTCACTTTCTCTTGAACTCTTCCACAAGGTCCTGCATGTTGCCCTGATCGGATTCCAGCTTAACCCTCTGTTGCCCCAGGTCCTCCAGCTGCTTCTGCAAGCTGTTGATATACGCCTTTAACATTTTTTCCATGTTACTGGGCCCCGTTTTCTGGCCCTGCAGGATGTTCCACTTAGTCTTCAACACCTGGTTCTCTTGCTCCAGTGTGCGAACCTGGGGAGATAAGGAGTTTGCGTCCTCAGACTGGTGTGACTATGCACGTAGGAGACCTTAGGCCAGACTTTTCAGCTGTACTAAAGACTCTTTTCAGAGCAGCAGCCATGTTAGTCTGTATCCGCAAAAAGAACAGGAGTACTTGTGGCACCTTAGAGACTAACAAATTTATTAGAGCATAAGCTTTCATGGACTACAGCCCACTTCGAAGAAGTTAGTCTAAGGTGCCACAAGTACTCCTGTTCTTAAAGCCTCTTTGCTTCACTTCAGCAGTGGAAAAAAGCATGATTAAAATGGGTGTAAATATAACTGGTGATTTACAAGAGCCAGCATGCTCTAGTAGATGGAGCAACTGGCTTAGGACTGTGGACAGCTGGTACCTGGGTAAGCTTGGGCAAGTCACCTCCCCTCTGTGTGTCTCCTTCCGACCTCTGTCTGTCTTTTATTTAGATTGTAAGCTCATAGAATCATAGAATCTCAGGGTTGGAAGGGACCTCAGGAGGTATCTAGTCCAACCCCCTGCTCAAAGCAGGACCAATCCCCAGACAGATTTTTGCCCCAGATCCCTAAATGGCCCCCTCAAGGACTGAACTCACAACCCTGGGTTGGGGTGGGCATTATCTCTTGCTGTGTGTCTGTACTAGAACGGGGCAAATGATTTTTTTTCTGGTTCATTATCAATTTCCAAGAGTCGGGAAAAAATTAGTTTGGGGTCAGATGGAAATTTTTGGCTAATCGAAAAGTCAAAAAAATGTTCATTTTGGATCGAACACGAAGTCTCATTTCTACAAAATTAACATGTTTTTGACCATTTGTAAACATTTTTTAAAAATGTAAATAAAACTAAAGGACATTTTGCAACAAAATGTCATTTCAGACAGAAACATCAAGTCGTTTTGTATCCATTTTTTAAAAATTGTTTTGTTACGTTTTTAAACAAACCATTCCATGAAATCAACATGAATTAACCAAACGTTTTGCGGTCACTGAACTTGAATTTTTTGTGACAAAATTTCTCTCAGCTCTAGTGTGTACAGCACCTGACACGCTAGGGCCCTGATCTTGAAGGTTTTATTGTAATATAAAGAAGAATAGCATTCAACCAACTCCAGCCACAAGTACATTTTCCTTGTGCCACAAGCTTCCCATTTTTATTCAAGCTGCGCCAACTCGTCTTCACGGTCACAGTTTCAGTTTCACAATTTCTCAACGCCCAGATATTGACACATGCCCCGACAGAATGGTTTGTGCTGTGTCCATGAGACGGGGAATCTGCACGCAAGCTGAGAAAAGGGCTTTCCAGCACCCTTGGCAGCCCCATAGGTCAGCGCCCCAGCACCTCCCGTCTGCCAGCAGCCCCACCAACTGGCTCCTCCCCCTCCCTCCCTCCCAGCACCTCCCACGATCAGCTGTTCCACAGCGTGCAGGAGGTGCTGGGGGGAGGGGGAAGGAGTGAGGGGGGGCGCACTTGGGGGAGGGGGCGGAACGGGGTTGGAAGAGGCAGGGCAGGGTGGGAAGAGGCAGGGCGGGGGTGGGGCCTTGGGGAAGGGGAGGAGTGGGGGCAGGGCCTGGGGTGGAGCATTCCCCCCCAGCACATTAGAAAGTCAGCGCCTCGGCATTAAACTGTGCTGAAACAGACACTGCCTTTAAAAACAAATTAAGAGCAAAAATGACCCTCTTGACAGTCTCATTAACCGATCGTAGGAGACTTTTGATCCGTCTGACTTCTGGCCTTAAAGTCTATGACTCTGACACCAGAGAACTGGGCCCATCTCCTTATTCTTTAGCCACAAAGGATAATTTATCTCCTCAATGCTAACCCATAACTCCCTGGGAGGAGAACCTGTTCCTACGAATACCCTATGTACTAATCTTTCTCCGCTTCAGGAAGTAGTATTATTGCAATAGGACAAACCTCACTCCCTTCCACAGATGGCTACAAGACAGATCGACTTGGAGAAAACACTTGGTCCTCGTGGAAAACTCAGCATTTTTCCAGAATAAGACTATCCCCACACTTAGAATTCCCAGACTGGATCAGACCCACAGCCGTGCAGTCCAGTATCCCATCTCTAAGACTGGCCAGTACCAGATACTTCAGAGGAAGATGCAAGAAACCCCACAATGGGCAGATGGGGGTATAATCTGCCCCTCAGGGATCTTCTAACCCCTAAGAGAGAGAGAATTTAGAGAACTAATGGCCAATACGGTCATCGGGCTGTGGGAGTGTCACAGAGTGTGGGGGAGTCAGGGCCCTGCACCCCCCACTTCCTGCGATTCACCGTGACTCTCAGCCAGCCAGGAAAACAGAAGGTTTATTAGATGACACGAACACAGTCCCAAGTAGGGCTTGTAGGTACAACCAGGACCCTCAGCCAGGTCCCTCTGGAGGGCGAGGATCTTAGACCCCAGACTTGGGGTTCCCTGCCTCTTCCCAGCCAGCCCAAAACTGAAACCAAAAACCTCTCCCGCAGGCTCTCTTCCCCCCCCCCCTTCTCTCCCCCTCTCCCTTTGCCAGTTTCCTGGGCAAAGGTGTCAACTCGCCCCACCCCCCTTCCTGGCTCAGGTTACAGGTTCAGGTACCATCCCTCACCTAAAGTCATCCCCTGCTCTCCCATCCCCCATGCAGATAGTCCCAAGTCAATCCACCCCGCTCCCTACTGCGTCACAGGGAGCAATAAGAAAGAAGCATTAAAGAAGGTTGGCCTTTATTGTAGGATGCTCATTGATTACTCCAAGCATGGACCAAAAGACGTATCGACTAGTTCGGGGAACCCTCTTTTGCTTCCCAAGTGGAGTCCTATAAAGTCTTGATCTTGCCCAAATCTGCTTAGAAGACCTAAGCCTGAATAGTGATTTTGGGTGTCCAACTTAAGACCCCTTAAAGGGGGTTGATTTTATCCAAAATCACCGAGTGCCCACCTCTGGAACTCAAGTCTCTTTAGTCAGTTTTGGGGTGCTCAACTTGAAATGCCTTAGTCTAGTCGCTTTTGAAAATATCGACAGCAATTGTGACAATGGGTAGGTCTGCTTGAAAGCGTCCCATTTAGTGTAACCTTTGGAGCAACAGATAAGGCCTAGCTAGGTTCTGGCATTGGCTGTGACAGCTCTTCAGGCTGATTATCTTTTGTACCATATCAATTCCCTACAGGTCGCACAATGATTAAACCCTCTTTATTGCCTTTACTTATTCCACTGACAACAGCTACCAAGATATTAGCAACTTGCCACCACTGCCCGTTGGGCTGTATAAATCACAGTTTTCTCTGGTCTCTCCTGTTCTTATGAGGTAAAAAGTATAGGAAAGGAGGGCGACAGAGCTGTTCACAACACAGATCCATCTGTCAAAGAGAGGACGCTTGGCATTAGACCACCCAAGGCTTACCTTGTTGATAAAGTGGGCAAATTTATTGTTGAGAGTCTTGATCTGCTCCTTCTCCTCAGCTTTCACGCGCTGGATCTCTGGGTCAAGCCCAATCCCGATGGGACTCATCAGGCTCCGGTTGAAGTTCACTGCTGCGAGAGTACCCTCAATGCCGACCCCACCACTCATCCCCAGCCCCAAGGGGCTCCTGGCTCCTCTGAATTTGCTGCCACCTGGGCTGGAGATGGCATAAGTCACAGGGCTCGTTCTGGAGTGGCCAGTGAAGGCATAGGATTGGCTGCTGAAATTGTGGGGGGAACTCCTGTACTTCTTATTGACGGAGATGACGGACATCTTGACGACGCCAGTGGAGAATGAGGAGGTGCTTGGTAGGCAGTCGCAGGCACTGGAGGAAGGTCTGTAAAGACTGAGGGCTGCATGGGGTCAGTGCTGATTTATATCCAGGGTGGCCACGGGGCAGGGACACATCTGAGTGGCTGTGCAGCAGTGGAGGGGCGGAGCTTCACTGTTCCCAGTTCATCACCTGCTTCATCAACATGGGCCCAACCTAGTTAACTTCTTCAGCGCCAGCAGAGAGAAAACTGTACACCTTCAGCTTTTCAGCTACAGGGAAGTCTTCCTTTATCATGCCCATGCCAAACAGCTGTGTTTGGGTAGTCATTGCAAACTCTTCCATTACTAATTATTAGAGGTTGTGGAAACATTTTCATCAGGACATATTTTCGATGAAGAACAGCTTTTCATTCAAATGAACATTTTCATAACTGTCTACATTTCCTGGATTTTTTTCCAATGGAGAAAAGAATTGGTAATATTTGTTATTTGTCCATCAGTAAAAATGTTCAGTTTTCAGTAAAAGTTTTCACTTTTCTGTCAGTTTTGTAGTTAAAATTTTGGCGTTTTCAGTCAAAAAGGTTTTTTTAGTTTGTTGTTTAGTAAAAATGTTCATGGTTTGGTACAATTCCTCTTTTTTCTGTCTGCTTTTAATTAAGTAACACATTTTGGGTCTCCGTTTTTGAATAGCAATAATTTTTAGCCTAAACTGAAAACAGCTTTGGGTTTTCAATAAAAAAGGGAACATTTTTGAGAGAATTTTCTTTAAAATATGAATATATTTTCTAAATTTCCCATGAAAAAATAATTAGCATTTTTCAAACAACTCTGTGATAATATACCTTGCATAGTCAACTATATAGATATAGATATATCACTGTCAAGGCAGATTCCCCACTCTGGCACTTCCAGTGCAGAAGGTGGGGGCCTGCAAGGATTCTAAAAATTAATACTGGTCACTCCAAGCTTGCATTAAACTCCCACGGTTACAGCTTCACTCTGACCTTGGATGGGTAGATGCTGCCACCACCCAAATGCAAAACTCCTTGGAACCCAGGAAGACGTACTTGGGAATTCCTTCCTGTGGGGTACCCTCAAGCCCTTTCACCTCCCCCCACTCTCCCTCCAGGGAAGAGCTGAGAAAGGAAAGCGAAGAAATCAGCCATTACCACCAGCTAATTAAAAACCGGTGCACAAACCTCTTAGGACACCAAAAATTCAATCCTATTCTTAAAAAAAAAAGGTAAATTTTTTTAAAAACAAAAAGAAAGAAAATACATCTGGAACTTAGGCTTTTTGCTAGATCTTAAAAAAATAATTACAAAAATTAAGCATCAAGATAGCTCTTTTGAGGTTCAGCTTAACGGTTACAAGCAAACAAAAGCATCTGGGGTTAGCACAGAGGAGTCCACAAGCCAATAAGAAATAAAAGAAATAACCCTAATCACGTCTTCCTAGACATTCCCTGGTTTTCTTACATATCTGGGGTTTCAGATGAGTAGGGCTGAGGTATGATTTGATGCTTTTTCATACCTGGTTTTAAAGCTTTTTACAGCATAGCTCCAGCCCTGTCCTGCTCAGTCCCCTCTCTCCAGAGAACAACAACAGACACAAAGGGAACTTTTTTTCCCAATTTAAAAAAGTTCTAGCCTTCCCATTGGCTCTTTTGGTCAGATGCTATAGCAGATTGCTGAGTCAACAGTGTGGCGCCTCCTGCTGGTTACCTCGGGTATTAGCTCAATTCCAGCACTCGGAGCACCTCCTGCTGGCCGGTGTCTCTCCTGCCTCAGGCCCTGTGTCCCTCATGGACGCCGGTGCCCCTTTCCCTGGGGTTCTGCCCCACAGCAGTCCCCACGCTCTGGGTGTCCCCTCCCAACCCTCTATGCCCACCTTGCCTCAGTGGCTACTGCCAGTCAGCATCTAGCCCCCATTCTCTGGGGTAAACTGCAGTCTGTAATGGCCACTCATCACTGGCAAGGGGATCAGACCTGCTGCCCTTCTTGACCCAGCTGTCTCCCTGCAGCCCCAGTACCTCCTTTTGGCCCTCAGCAAGGCCTCAGCCTGGAAACTCGCCAGGCCAGAGCTCCCCAGCTCTGTCTGCCCTTCCCCAGCACTGCTCTGCTTTGGGTACCCTGTCTTTCCCAGGCAGCCAGGTCCTTCTCACTCCCACCTTGGAGTGAGACTGACCCAGCTCCTCCCTTAGCCCTTACATCAGGGTCAGCTGTGGCCTGACTGCGTGTGGCCACAGCTGTGGCTGCCCTTTCCAATCAGCCTGTCCTTTTTCCCTAGGAGCGGGGTAACTGCCCCGCTACAGGTGCCCACTCCCTCCCTTTACCTGTGGACTTTAACCCTTTACAGGTAAAGCAAGTAGAGAACAGCTAGTAACAGGGATTTTATAGCTAACTGGCTGGCTGGGTGTCCATAAAAGGGAACTCTCCCACCCCCCACCCCCACTTCATTTATCACAATCACTATGATCAAATTTTGTACTTCGTTTTGATCTGCTGCCTCCCTAATTGTCCTCTTTCCCAGTTTTTTGCTCTGGGGTCACCTTGGTTGACAGAAGATCTGTAGTGGATAGAGCAAGAAGACAGAAGGAGTGAGGATATGGGGAACAGCGCTGAATTGTTTCATTGGTTGACTGTGATGGAAGAAAACCAAGTGTCAATACTGGTATTGATCGAACGCTCCTGTTGGCTGCCGTTACCCGCGGATCTTGCAAGGAGTTTCTCTAAAGTGGCTTTGTTCTTATCTCTTGGACAGACACCAGAAGTGAATGTTGAGCATTCTACCCAAGGACACTCCCAAGTGTTTGAAGCCATGAGGAGGGAGAGGGAGGAGGCATGGGGTGCAGAGTCTTGAGAACACTCAGTCATAGGTTTATATCTCCCCAAAACAGATCACTCAGTCAGGTGTTTTTCCTGGGGTGTGGTTTAGACTGTGACATGGATAAGGGCAAGCCAGTTGAGGCTCACCCAAGATAAAGCAGAGGTGATGCTGGCTAGATTAATAGTTTTGAAGGCCATAGGGACCATTAAATCATCTAGTCTGACTTCCTGCATTACACAGGCCTTAGAATTTCACCAAGCAATTCCTGCATCAAGCCCTTAAAGTGTAATTGACCCAGAACATATGATTTAGAAAGACACCCAGTCTTGATTCAAAGACTTCAAATGATGGAGAATCCATCATCTTTCTAGGTTTCCTGTTCCAGTGGCTAATTATCCTCACTATTAAATCTTTGCCCTTTGTTTCCGGTTGCTGCATATTATTATGCTTTTGTCTGTTAAAATAAAGAGCCCTCTGCTATCAGAAATTTTCTCCCCATATGGGGCCTTATAGACTTACCTGATGGAGAAAGCAATCAGTGTTAGGTTAAGGAGAGTAATCAGAATATATGGTGAAAATAATATCTGTCCCTTCCAGAGAATGTGAATCTCTGCTTCAAAGTTCCCTGTTTCAATATCTGTTTTCAGTACCACTCCACACTGTCAAATACCTTTTACACCACTAGGGAAATGCTGCAACAGGTACAGCAATGCACTTACTTTTATTAGCACTGTTTTAAAAGCATTTTGAGGCATCTGCAATTGTATTTTAAAAAATTGATTGGTATGAACCAAGATACCACAGCGATTAGCATAGCACAAGAACCTGCATGGAGAAGAATAGCAGAATGAATCAGTTCTCTAGGGGCCTGCTCCATAGCCCAATGAATTCAATAGAAATAATCCATCCTTTCCAACAACCTTTGGATCAGATCCTAAAGGCATTGCCAGAATTTTTACCAGTATCTATGTTTGATCAGCTGGGCTTTGTAATTTTTGTCACATATAAAAGAAATCTTCTGAACTAACACTGAGCTCATGTTCTTCAGACCTGTTTGGCTTTTAGGGGCCTAATCCAGTGCTCAGTCGAAAATCTTTCATTGACTTCAAAGGGATTTTGATTAGCCCACAAATATGTTTAAATAACAGCTAGTCAGGAAACAGGTTTTGTTCCCATTAAAAATGTCAACAAAAACGAAAAATATATATTTCCATCAAAAACTGGGGGGTTGGTGAAAAAAAGTGTTGCCATTTATGGCCAAAATTTTCCAGCATTTTTATGGACACTCCTGCGATGTAATCAAAACCAGACAATTCCATTTTGAGGGGGAAAACATTCTTCATTGAAAAACGTTGTGAACAAAAATAAGTTCAGCCAGCACTAGTTTAAATGCAGTTCTTATAATCCGTCTTCTGGCAGAATCTTTGTAGAATCTAGATACTGGACTACAAAGAACTGAAAAAAAAAAATACATGTAGTAGCACCGTATCTTTCTTATAGTAAATTGGGTACCTTTATTAAAGGACCATCTACACCTCTACCTAGGGTGACCAGATCACTGACAGGAAATATCGGGACGCAGGCGGGGGAAGAGGAGGATATCGGGATGCGTGGGGGGGGGCGGAGCAAAAAAAAAAGCTGTTTTGCAGGTGCCGGCTGCGCCATGGCCGCTGCCCTCCCCCCCCCCCCCCACGTGCTCCAGGCACATGCGGCACGGCCCGCTGCCCCGTGGGGAAGGAGCCACTGGAGCGAGAGGCGCGGGGCTCCGGACCCCGGCAGCGGCGGGGGAGAGCGGCTCAGGGCCGCGTGAGTGGACACATAAAGTTTATCGGCTGGGAGGGGACCCCGGCCGGCTCCTCACCCTGCCCTGTAGGGGGGTAACGTCCCCGCTCCGCGCCAGCATGTGGCACCGGCTGCCGCAGGCCAGGTAAGGAACCGAGTCCCTCCCTCTCCCCTCGTCCTGGCTCCTCAGCTGAGCGGCATTCCTCCTCCCTCCCAGGCGTGCCGCTGGATGGAATGCCAGCGCAAGCCTGGAGGGCGGGGGTGGTGGCCGGCTTCCAGTTCCTGTGGCTAGTGAGTACGGGCACCGGGTGGGCAAGGGGGGGCTGGCAAGGGGGCTGCTCCCCCGGGAGGGTGACGGGGGGGCTCAGCTGAGGAGCCAGGATGAGGGGGGAGGAGGCGACTCGGCTCCTTACCTGGCCTGTGGCGGCCGGCGCGACATGCTGGCGCGGGGCGGGGAGCCAGCCGGGGTCCCATCCAAGCCGATAAATTTTACATGGCCACTCGTGCGGCCCCGAGCCACTCTCCCCCACCGCTGCTGGGGTCCGGAGCCGCCCCCAACTACCTCCTGGGGGAGCAGCTCCCTTGCCAGCCCCCCTTGCCCACCCAGTGCCCCTACACACCAGCTCCAGGAACTGGAAGCCGGCCACCACCCCCTCCCTCCAGGCTTGCCCCACCATTACAGCAGCAAGCCTGGGAGGGAGGAGGAATGCCACATGCATGGGGAAGAAGCGGGGCCAGGGCGGGGATTTGGAGAGGGAGCCAATGGGGGATGGAGGAGGTGGAGTCAGGGTGGCGGGGGCAAGAGCCCTTCCGGGAGGGCAAAATTGCTTGTTTGTCCAGTGTCCTGACCACACATCGGTCGGGACGTGGGACAAACAAGCAAATATCGGGACAGTCCCGATAAAATCGGGACGTCTGGTCACCCTACCTCTACCCTGATATAACACGACCTGATATAACATGAATTCAGATATAACGTGGTAAAGCAATGCTCCAGGGGGGCGGGGCTGCACACTCTGGTGGTTCAAAGCAAGGTCGATATAACACGGTTTCACCTATAACGCAGTAAGATTTTGGGGCTCCCGAGGACAGCGTTATATCGAGATAGAGGTGTACTTGTTTTTCTGTAGCTAAAAGTCCTTTAGAAATCCAAAGACTTAATTTCATTGTGCAAGATTCTACTTCCCCACTCGCTTAGAACAAGCTTTATTTTTATGGCAGACCGGTAATATATAGATAGCTTTCTCATTGTTATCATTACGGAGACGGTGGGCAAATCAGTTTTGTGCCAGAACTGGTGAATTTTCATGGCAATTTTGCAATGCTGCAATGGGATCATTCTGTTTCAATCTGAAAATGGCATATTCAGCCACCTTATCTTGCAGGTAATTTAGTTCCTATTTGCTCTGGATTAACCTTTGTCCTGAGAATGAGGTTAAGCTCTTATTAATTCATCTCCCAGGGTTGCAGTAGGATATGATACATAATACTGACTGAGGGCTAGTTTATGACTACTGCAGTGGTGGAAGGAGGAACTCTGGGAAGGAGTGTTTGAGAGTCATAACCTTGCTCCTACAAAGAGTACTTTGCTATAAACCTTTATGGGACATTGCATACCCCTTGCTTCAGCTGATTGGGTGTTGGACCCCACCTGATCCCTTTCTCTTCCTGCTCCATCTTGCCCACTAGCAGTTCCTGCACTTCAACCCCACATCAGGAGCAATAATCCAGGTTTGAAGTGTACTATCATTTCCTGCATTCTTAATAACCTGGATGTATTGCTCAGTTATCTGCTTCTATTTGAATGGTGAACCTGAGATCCAATGGAACGTTAAACAGCTACTGCAAGAATTGTGACTCAACAAAGAACCTTTCATTTTCAATACGCCTTTCTGCCAATTGAAAGAGTGGAGTCCAGTCCTCCCCATACCCAGCAAATCCCCCATAAGATATTCACGCCTGTTCTGTCCCCTGTGTTTCTTGCTCTCGCTGCTTGAAATAGTTCTCAGGACTAGATTTAGCTCTGGAGTTCCCATGCTCTTTTGTCCAAGAGAGGGGGGTTGGAACCATGGTCTTGCTTAAAGTTGATTGAAAAGTTTAGTTCAAAATATTTTCTGTTGAAAACTGCTTTTTCAACAAAACAGAAAGTTCCATAGGTACTGTCCTATATCAATGAAATTTGGGGGATTTTCTTGAAACAATTTTTTTGTTTTGTTTTAGGCCAGAATTTTTTGATTTGGGGTTACCAAAAAACATTCAGCTTCTGGGTTTTCAGTCTTTCAACAAAGCCCCAGAAACGTTGCAGTGAAAATTCTCATTTTCATCAAGTTTTAACAGGAAGAAAAATCATTTTCCAACCGGCTACAGTCTTGGTTTGTTACTTAGCCTGGTCTACACAACGGCGTTAGGTCGACATATGCCACGTTAGGTCGAATTTATAATGTGCGTGTCTACACTACCGAGCCCTGTTTGCTGACCTAAAGGGCTTCTAAAATCGAAGCCTGTACTCCACTTCGGCCAGAGGCGTGGTGCTAGAGTCAACCTTCCCGGGTCGAATTAGGGGTAGTGTAGATACAACGCTGTGTAATCCAACGGGATTGGCCTCCGGGAGGTGTCCCAGAGTGCTCCAATGTGACTGCTCTGGACAGCACTTTCAACTCCACTCAGGGGTGAAAGTAACTTAAAGGACTTATCGGTACGCTGGAGTCCTGAGCGGGGGCGTGGCCTCAACCGGAAGAGGCGGGGCCTCAACCAGAAGAGGCGGGGCCTTTCAAGATTTAAAGGCCCTGGGGTTCCGGCTGTGGCTGGGAGCCCCAAGGCCTTTAAATCACCCCGGAGCTACCAGCTGCAGAGGTGGCTGGGAGCCCTGGGGCTCAGGGGCGAATTAAAGGGCCCGGGGCTCCAGCCGACGTGGAGCTCCGGGCCCTTTAAATCACTGTGGAAGCCCGGCTGCCGGAGCTCTGGCAGGGATTTAAAGGGCCCAGGGCTCCCCGCAGCGGCTGGAGCCCTGGGCCCTTTAAATCACCGCCGTGGAAGCCAATCCAGTCCGGCACGGCATACTGGCTCTTGCCGGTACACTGTACCGGACCAGCTTACTTTCATCTCTGACTCCACTGCACTTCAGCCAGGTGCACAGGAAAAGCCCCAGGAACATTTGGATTTCATTTCCTGTTTGATCAGCGTGGAGAACTCGCCAGCACAGCTGACCGTGCCTGCCCAGGGCCGCAAACACGCTCCAGGAGACACTGGATCTGATCGCTGTGTGAGGAGAAGATGCAGGCAGAGCTCCGAACCAGCAGAAGAAACGCTGACATCTATGCCAAAATCGCACAGGGCACTGGGGACAAAGGCTACACCAGGAACACACAGCAGTGCCCCGTGAAAATAAAGGCGCTCAGGCAAGCGTACCAGAAGACAAGGGAGACGAACAGTCGCTCTGGTTCTGAGCCACTAGGGTCACCAGACAGCAAGTGTGAAAAATCGGGATGGGGGTTGGGGGGTAATAGGCATCTATATCAGAAAAAGCCTCAAATATCAGGACTGTCCCTATAAAATCAGGACATCCGGTCACCCTATGAGCCACCGACATGCCGCTTCTATGAGCAGCTGCATGCGATTCTAGGTGGGGACCCCACCAGTACCACAACATTCTCCGTGGATACCTCCTAGGGGCCCCAGGCGGCCTCAGGCAATGAGGAGGACATTGTTGATGAGGAAGAGGAGGAGGAAAATGCACAGCAGGCAAGCGTTGGATCCATTCTTCCCGACAGCCAGGACCTTTTCCTAACTCTGGAGCCAGTCCCCTCCCAGGGCCTATTGTTGCGGGACTGTGATGGCCGGGAAAGGCACCTCTGGTGAGTGCACACTTGTAATCACACCACAGGGGTTAAATGCAATTGTGTTTAATGTTTAATCTGAGGTAAACAATTGAAATACAATGGTGGCCGGTCCAGCTCCCCGGAAAAGTCTGTTTATGTGCCAAGAGCTTCCTCACCAGAAAATGTCTCCGGGGTGTCCCCTGCCACCTCCTACCCTTTCTTGTGTGCTTACCATGCCTGCCTGCAAACCAAAATCTGCTGCCCAGTGCTCTGCCGTGCGTTGTACCTTACCGGTAGGCGCTTCTTTTAGAAGACAAAATGTGGCCGTGTACCTCCAGGAACGTAGTTACTGCTGTGAAGTGTTTCATTCATTGCAAGCGTTAACCTTCTGTTTTCAGCAAT